GGATTAATTGCCGTTAATTGGTTGAACATTATGAAATATATTGACTTTTTGTTCTCAGTTGTTTACCTATGCGAGTAATATTTGAACACATTACATCGTGACATTTTATTATCATGATAGATATATTTTCTAAAAACTTTAATGTTAACTTTGATTCGAAATGTTTGATTATTCAACTCTTATTACATGTTGTCTTCTATGATCATTGATAGCGTTGATTTAATACATCATTGCCTCGTATTTGTTAATATGACGTGTTAGTCGATATTTTTTTTGTGGCCGGGAGAATGTCGGAAATAGATATGGATAGAATTATTGTTTACTATTTTTACTGATATTGTGAATCGTGTTATATTATTATACTGTTATATACATCGTTTGTACCGCCTAAAGCTTGAATGTAACAAAACGGGATACGACCTTGAACACTGTGCTATGAGCGAACGTGAGAGGCAACACCACAATATTTGTATTGACCAATCACAGTATTGTATATTTGTATCTAGTTTTCCCGCTCGAATTCAGAATCCCCACGAGGGTATTTAAGCATTCATTGTAATTGTTTCAGGGCTCTTCTATGTTATGTTCACGAATAAACAACTTGTGTTCTACTCTTGAAAGTACTTGTCTTGTCTGATTGCTGGACTGCTGGTATTATAAAGAATATTACGTCCAAAAATACGACTTCCCACAAATTAATTAATTATGCAAATTAGGTAATTAATATGTACTGATATTACCCTAAAAACTATCAGGTCTGTGCAGTGTCATATGACACCTATGTACCAAGTTTTATTGAAATGTTATGATTAGTACTTGAGATATCAGTGGAAAAACCGAAAATTGATTAATCATTATGTAAATTAGGTAATTAATAATATTAACAGATTTTTACCCAAAACTAATCAAATCTGCGCATTAGTTCAGAGCATTCATGTGCCAAGTTTCATTGAAATCCAATGAGTGGTTCTTCAAAAATCAGTGGAACAGTAATAGAACAGCTTAAAATCAGTTAATTATCATGCAAATTAGGTAATTAATATTCATAGATTTTTACCCAAAACTAATCAAATCTGCGCACTAGTTCAGAGCATCCATGTGCCAAATTTCATCAAAATCCAATTAATGGTTCTTCAGATATCAGTGGAACAGTCTTGAAACAGCTAAAAATCAGCTAATTATCATGCAAATTAGGTAATTAATATTCATAAATTTTTACCAAAACCTAATCAACTCTGCGCATTATCCCAGAGTATCTATTTACCAAGTTTCACCAAAATTTGATTAGTGGTTCTTGAGATAACGGTGGAACAAAAAAAGTGACATACATACATACATACATACAGACATACAGACAGGGTAACTGCAAAGACTCCCTTTTGTGCTTCGCACACGGGAGTCAAAAATGAAAAGCTGTCTAGTTGGTTGCCATGACACCGACTTTTGATGGCACCGCCAGCCGATGGTAGCTATGGATGTACGTAACTCTGTTGTTATTTTGTACTAAACCTGGTCAAAGTAATTCACATCTGTGTTGTTTACCAGATTTACCTCAGTGTAGTTTGAAATATAAAAAAAAACATACATGTAGTAAGATGCCATTTTTAGAAACCAATACTATCTTCCTTCTCCAATCTCTTCCTGATGTCTATCTGCTTGATTACAATGGCCTTCAAGGAAACGATTCATCGCCGAACATAATCAGTCAATCGTGATAGTTGGACAGGGTTATGCATTTTTTAGCTTGAACGTTTAGATGAATACAGCTTGCGTGTAAGACAGCAAAAAGTATCTGTGTGAATACATATACGGCTGACTATGATACTTCTCAGCATTTTTTACATATGTAAATTACTTCTTTGTTCGATGAAGCGATGCTGATGCCACATTGTCGCCATAATGAGGCCACAATGAAGCAAAGCGATAACCACCTCAACTTTTTCATGTCGCGACATTGAAGCGATGCTGAAAGCCATAACAATCCCATAATGATGCGATGCTGAAGCGAAGCTCACGCGATAACTGTACTGTACGATATATAAATGTTTATGACTACCATGAATGCCATCACAATGTTCATGATACCAAAGTTACAACATGTTATGGATACCGCATATATAAAAATGTCCAATGATGCCAAGTTAGCAGCTATGATTATCTGTGGGACTCCCATGGCCATATATGTAACCATACACTATATATATATATATATATATATATATATATATATATATATTATATATATATATATATATATATATATATGTAAATTACCAATCGTTACCATAGTAATCATTACTTACATATTACAAGCAAAGTTGTTATAATGACCTGTACACCATTACCAACAATTACTGATATGGCTAAATATCCCAATGGAGTACGGAACACGTCTTCTTTTATTTGTGGCCAACCACTACTTTCTTCATTTTTGTTCTAGAAACAACATAAAACAGTGCATATTTTCAAATTAGTGTGTACTGATTGTTTACATATATAC